AAAAAAATTCTTTGTTCTGCGCATCGGTTCCGCACTCCGTCCTCCGTCCGTAACGCTACCAGGAAATTCCCTCCACGTTTTCCCTCCCAGCAGAAGCCAGCGAGAAAATTGTGCGCGCATATCGAGGAAATCCCGGCTCTCTCGGCCCAGCAGACGGTCGCAGAAGTCGTGGGCGGTCCCACCGCAAAAGAGCAGCAGCCACTCATCGACCCTGTGCAATTTCACCATCAGGCGCCCAGGGCCAAGCCGCCAAGACGGCCAGGGATTCCGCCTGTCCTACTGCCAGCCTCGGAGCTGTTGGGAGGGCGAGTACCGGTACTTGCGGTGCCGGTCTTGGTGAGCCGGCGGTGGCTGCAGTGGCTGGCTTGAACTCGGAAGCTTTCAAGGCTGAGCTTGAACGCACTTGGACGCAGGGCACCAACCAACTTGCAGGTGTTTATTGAGCATGGAAATGGAATTCTGCACTACGGCTTCTGTGAACGAAGAAATACATTGCATGATAAGACAACAGCAAGCAGGGTTCCAGGTGCTGAGAGCGCCATCACTGCCAAATCACCGCGCGTTCGGCTTGCACGAGTTGCAGTGGGATTGGCCAAGTGCGTCGTCGAGTTACCGCCGAGAGGTACCGGTACCCTTGGGCCGCAGCTTCCGGGGCTTGTCCCCAAACCGCTAGCACGAGTCTGTCCGCTGTTGCCCGCTGGCAGTTGCCAGGCCCTGGCGCCGCACAGCGCAAAGGCCCGGGTGCCCGTCGAGGCGCGCTAGAGGGTGGGAAAGAGGCCGTTAGACGAGCAGGTGAAGGAGGGACTGGAGAGAAAGACAGGTCCAGAGTTGACGGAGAGCGCAAGTGCTCGAGATACCCAGCCTTGTACAGGTACCGGCTGCCAATGGCACTGGGCTACCTAGTACTACCGTTGTGCACTGCACGCGTGCCGCTGAGCCTCTTTCCCTGCAGCACCGCAAGTCGCCCAAGCGCCGGTGCCCGTATGTACTCGTACGGAGGTACTAAACCCGCCGCCATGCTGTCCCAGGCATTGCGCCACACGACACGCGCAGCCTGCAGTGTCCTTGACCGACGCATGTACCGGTACCCGCCGGCGGAGGTACCCAGCGCCTCGTACCGGTACCTGCTCGACCGCTGAGACTGCTGATACCGTACCGCCCTCCTGCACCTTGTCATCATTCCCTTGTCTTACCTCACAGCACTGCTGCCACTTACGACCCTCTGCGCTGCGCTTTGCTCGACCTTTACATACTAGACTTGTCCCCCTCCTCCGGCCGGCTTCACTCTCCTTTGTCCTCCATCCTCTCGCCTCGTCTCCTCGTGCTTCCTCTCCCTCTTCCCTCACCTCGCCTCGCCTCCCCCCTGCGGCGCTCCTGGCCTTTTCCTCTTGGACCCAAAGGTCAACACCGTCCACAGCGGCCTTTTGCCCCGTCACGCACGCAAAAAGCCCTGCGACGCTGCCAACCCAATTCGCCCTGTGGAACCTGCTCGTCGTCTCCTTCGCCCTTGTCGCCGACCTGCAACCTCAACCCGCACGTGCTCGTTCTCGTCTATCTTCCTCGACACGCTTCGGCTGCGACGCTGCTCAGACTTTTGCGCGCAAAAGCAAAAAAAAGGAATCGCTGGTTTCTTTGGCATCTCGACCTTGGGTATTATGAGGTAGTGTTTGGGGTAATCCGCTGTATTCATACCTTTGCCGACGGGAATCGCTGCCGACGACTCCTTTTTTTTCTTCCTGGTGTCCGTTTCTCCACCAGAAGCCGTCGCTTTTCTGCTGCAAAAAGGATTCGCGACAACTCGTCCGCCTCTGCACAACCAGGCGATCTCGGTTCCATTTTTTGAACATTTCTTTTTTGGGCAAACGCAAAGCAGAAGAAAAGAAAACAGGAAACGAATCGTCCAACTACAATGATGGATCTGGGATCGGGAAAGCCCAAGCTGCCGGCTCTGCTGACGGAGCACGTCAACTTGGCCTTCCTCAACCGCCTGCCCGCCCGCTACGTGCGCCGACGCCCCCGGGCAAAGTCCAACACGACGCATCGCGGCGAAGACATCACGAGCCTGCAGACGTCCTTCAACTTTTGGGACGGTCTGCGCGACCTGCAGAAGCACCAATGGCGGCTGGCCGACCTGCAATACCTTGTCCTGGCCGCCCTGACGCTCTTCTCGCTCTACATGGCTCCTCCGGCGCCCGCTCTGAAGCTGTTTGGCCTCGTTGGTGCTGCGTGGATTCTTTCCATGCCTGCCACCCGCCAATTCTTCCTTCCCTCGCTGCCCATCTGGGTCTGGCTGCTCTACTTTTTCACTAGTCGGTGAGTTGGCCCATGGTCAGAACGATTGTATTCGAGTGGCTGTCTTGCTAACTGTGTCTGGTTCCTCAGATTCATCCCTACCGAGTATCGTCCTCACATCTGGGTTCGAATCCTGCCCGCTCTGGAAAACGTCCTGTACGGCGCCAACCTGTCCAACATCCTCTCGGCCCACAAGCACCCTATCCTGGATATTCTGGCTTGGCTTCCCTACGGCATCATTCACTTTGGAGCTCCCGCAGTGTGCTCTCTCATCATCTTCATCTTCTCAGCTCCTGGAACCACGCCGGTTTTTGCGCGTGCCTTTGGCTGGATGAGCATCCTCGGTGTCACCATTCAGCTCATCTTCCCCTGCACGCCGCCATGGTATGAGAACGAGCATGGACTGGTCCCCGCTGCGTACGGCATGCCCGGATCGCCCGCTGGCTTGGCTCGCGTCGACGCAATTTTCGGCATTGATTTGTACACCACCAACTTCACCAATGCCCCGCTTCCGTTCGGTGCTTTCCCGTCTCTTCATGCCGCCAACGCCGTCCTTGAAGCCCTCTTCATGAGCCACTGCTTCCCCCAGTTCAAGTTCTTCTTTGCCGCATACGCTGGCTGGGTCTGGTGGGCCACCATGTACCTGAGCCACCACTACGCCATTGATCTGGTCAGCGGTGGTCTCATTGCCGCTGCCTTTTACTACTCCTCTCGTGCTAGGTGGCTGCCCCAGCGCCAGGCCGACAAGCTCACCCGATGGGAGTACGAGTATGTTGAGACCGGCGACCACCACAAGGTCGCTGACGAAGAGTCGGGCCAGTACTTTAGCCTGGGCTTCATCGACCACCGCCGTGCCAACTCCAGCGACGGATGGACTGTTGCCAGCAGCTCCAGCTGCAGCTCCAGCAGTGGCACTCTCAGCCCCACTGCTTCCGAAGCCTCGGTTCCCGGAATGTTCGTCATGGACCTGACCAGCGATGGACAGGCCTGGGATGGGCAGGTTCCACCTAGGGACGTTGACCTGAGCGAAGTTGTTGTATCACGGTAACATCGTCTCCAGGTCGGAGGATGCTTGCTCGACGACATACAGCTTTTCTATTTCCACCTCTTATATATCATCCGACTCGTCACCTCTACGACAGGCGATCGAGCGTTAACGAACCCGCTTATGATTCGATTCAAAATCCGTAATTAATATTTGGCCAAGGCCACTATTTTCTTTTTTCCAAAACATCTTTGGCATTCATCGGCACAGCGAAATGGCGCATGTGGTGTGGATTTTTCTTGACTCTGTTACTGGTGAGGAGGGGGGTTACGTCTTGGGTTCCGCACGGTCACACCGGATACCGAACATCTAATACTGGGGAGGGGAGTCTGGGTCGGGAATCATGGGAAAGAAAAGGATATAATTTTTCCTCCATTCGAACCGTCAAACGATTCGACTGCATATATTCGACGTCGAGGGGGAGGAGTACTTGAAGCGATAGAGTACGTAATGTATACATACCAAGGGGATAATCCGTGCATGGGAGATGGATGGGATGAGAACATGCACTGAACGCTCGCTAAGTGAGCCACGAGATGGGACACTGATGAGGGATGAGGGCCCATATCCGGATATGGGGGATGGAGAGTTAATAAGGCCAGTGGCGGAAATACCAAAGATGCCGCTCGCTCAACCTTGTCTGAACAATAAAAACACACAAATGAAGAAACATGCACGAAAGCTTGTCTACCTCTGCTTCCACACAAGAACTTAATGGTGAAAGACTGTAGGAAGTGCAAGTAAAATTACCGTGTGCCCGTTACTGGGTAGAGAAGTAAGCCTTTCCAAAAAAGTTAACGACTCCCTGTTCAGTCGACAATGGTATTGATCATCTCTTCGTTTATTACTTGTAATCAACTTCCATCAATGATCAAAATCGACTCTTGATTCGTTACCTCATATTAAGTCATTCGTCATCAGCTCATTTGCTAATGTCTTATACCAAGAACGACATCTCAAGCATATGCCCTGCCAACTCTACCACTTTCCCGCGCCATTTCATTCAGGGCACAGGCAACTAATCAAAGAGAAAAGGAAAGAAACAAAGAAAAGAGTAAAGAAAAAAGGGCGCAAAATAAAACAGAAAAGCCTTCCATATATCCCTTAAGGCTTGAACAGACTCGATGAAAAGAAATAGAAAGGGAGGAAAAGGGGGATGGGGGGCGATGAATTTGGCGTTCCTAGGTGTATCGATGGAAATAGCAAAGGAAAAGTAGCAAAGGAAAAATGGTAAGATATATGTAGTGGACCTTGAAAAAGACGGCTCGATCCCCTCGTTTCTCTCTCTCTTCTCGTTCCCTTCCTTTCATTGAGATGAAGATCATTGAAATACCAAGCAGGATGACTAATAGCATATTTCATCGTTTCTTTGTTTGCGTCGAGATGGAAAGCCTAAGGTATAAGAAACTCTATATATGAGGGGAAAGATGCTAGTTATCAAACTTGTCTGCCAGCGCCAGCGATGGCATACAACACAATTTCAATTTTGTCCAGAAAAGAAAGGGGAATGATAGAGCGGAAAAGAGAAGGGGGAAAAGGAAGAAACAAAAGCAAAAAAGAAGTCCCCCATCACAAACCGTAGCGTGACCTCATCAATTCCATCATCATTACTTCTTCGTGCAAGTTGCTTTGCTTGCTTGCTTGCCATCTGCTGCTACCTTGCGGCTTCGGGATTCCAGAGGCCTTTGCTTGTTTGTACAATGCGGTTGGCCATGTTGCCCGGCTGCAACAGCGCAGGCACGTCGCTGGCGGCGGGAGCCGTCGTGTTGCCCATAACGACATCGTCGGCCTGCGATCTGTTGTTGTCCGCGCTGTCGTTGCCCTGGCTGGAGCCCATGGAAATTGCACTGTCGTCCTTGCGGGCACTGGGTGGAGCGGCGGCGCTGTTGCTGCTGTTGTTGGAGCCAGCGCCTCTTCCTTCCCGGCTGCGGGCGGGCTCTTGGGAGCGGGCGCCGTCCATCATGAGATTCTGCGCCTCGCGGAGCTTGTTGATGGCGCGGACGGTGTCGATGGCGGCGTGCAGAGTGCGCCGGGCGTTGAAGTTCTTCTTGATGGTAGGCAGCAGGTTCTCGCCGGCGCCGTCCGAGGGCGCGAGGCCGGCGACGAAGGCGTGCTGCAGGGCCTCGTGGGCGGTGATGCGCTGGGGCCGATGTACCGGGGGCTCTAGAAGTTCTTCTGCCCGGTGCCGTTCGGGCAGCTGGAGACCCGGTAACCGCAGTAGTGGATGAAGGACGAGACGCCGATGTGGGGGAAGCTGGCGCTAAGGCTGAAGCTCCTCTACGTCCGGTAGGAGTTGCGGCTGATGTCGAAGTGGGGCCAGCTCATGACCGCGCCGCAGAGGAGCAGGCGTTTCCTGAAATAGGCCGCGACGGAGTGGTAACTGGTCCTGT